ATGGGTGTCCGCCAGAAGACTCTTTCAAAGTTCTCTCCCTCTGATCTCAGTCTCTTCTTTCTCTCGATCTTATTTTTGGCTCTCTTTCTCAGTACCTCTCTTCTCTTCCTCGGTCTCTTTTATGCTCTATTTTTTTTTCAGTTTTCCTTCTGTGCCTCGTACTCTCTTCCTCCTCCAGTTTCGGTCCTTTGTCTGGTTTTTTGCATTTTCTTTATTCTACTTCTTCTTCGCTGGCATTTTCTCGTTAGTTTCTGCCTCCGCCTCATTCTCGTTCATCCTCGCCTCCCATGCTCTGTTTTTCCTTCATTTTTTCTCCTCTCTCCTTTTCTACTGTCATCTCATGTGTACGTCTCCAGCTCTCTTTTTTTTTCAGTCTCCTTCCCGTTTCTTGTGCTCTCTGTGCTCCAGTTTTTTTTCTTGTCCTCCGTCTGGTTTTCTGCATCTACGGTCACGTCTTGGTGCTCTGTTTTTTCTCCTGTCCTCTTTCCTTTTCCTCCTCTCTCAAACTCGCTTCGTTTATTGCTTCTGGCTTTCCCTCTTTCTTCTTTTCTTGCTCTTCCTCTCAGCGTCTTCTCCTTCCTGCGTCTCTGGCTCTCTACCTCTAGGTTTTTCGTCCTCTCTTTTGCGTTTTTCTTCGTGCTCTGTTTTTCCGTTTCCTTCTCATCTCTCACTCTCCATCTCCTTCTCATTCTCCATCCTCTCTCAGACTCTCTCTTCTTCCTCCTTTTTTTCCTTCCAGTTTTTCTCTCTTCCCTTCCCTGTCTCCTTCCTTGTCTGTTTTTTTCGTTCTCTTTTATGCTCTCTCGGACTCGCTCCCTCTACTCTGTTTTTGCTTTTTCTGCATTTTGTAACATGCATCTCTTCTCTGCAAAGTGAAGCTTTTCACGTGTTTTCGTCTGCTGCATGCATGCATGCGTCTCGGTTCTGTCTCTTTTCTTCTGCTGGCCGAAAGTGTGTGTACGTGTTCTTTCACTTTTCTCTTCTGCCGTGCACGTCTCTGGTCTTGCTGTTTCTGACTGTGTGTGTGTGCTTCTAGTCTTCTTTATCTCTGTGTGTATGGCATCTGACCGAAAGACCAAGTTTGGAACTGATGGGGTAAGATTTAACCCATCGATTTGTGTATTATTTTTTTAAAAAAAAACTATAATTCTTTCTTTTTTTTAAAAAAAATCCTGTTTCTTAATTTAGAGGTTAAAAAAAAAAGACAAAAGAAATTTGATTTTGAATTAAGCAAACATGTTATTTTTTTTTTAGAAGATAACAAAATTTAAAGGAAGAAATTCAAAAGAAGTTAACTCTCAAAATTAGTTTCTAATATCTTGAATGGTTAAGATAACTTCGAAGAGATTTTAAGCAAGGTTATATTTTTTTTTGTTAATTTTGTTAGATTATTTTTTTGAAAATATAATCTTAAAAAAGGATTAAATTTCATTTTTTGTATTTTTATATTTTTTGGTTATTTATTATTATTTAAAAAAAATGTCCGGACAAAATACGGTGTTCACACTGTTCAGTGAGCCTTTTCCAATTGTCATTGTACGATTATGGGATTAATGAAGCAACAAGGGAAATTTTAAAATTTGTATACATTATATGAATTATTTTGTGTGGCACAATACCAAGTGATGTGTTTTGACATTTCCCAATCGAAGCTCATCAAATCTATGGTTGCGTTATGAGATTGCCTTGTTATGGCAAGCACTAAGCTTGATTTGAAAGAGAGTGAAGATCATGACAAACTAAAAAAGGAACATATAGTTTGATTCTCATTTTCCTTTTGCATGTTTTAGACCCTATTACTGAAATTATTTATTGACCATGAGCACCACAAGAATTTGTTGACAGTAAAAATCTTATTAATTTATAACATTTGATGATGAAAAGAATCTTTGCAGGCAATGGTTTTATATTTTGTAAATTAATAAAATTTTACAGGTTTGAGGATCAATATTGTATATATTAAATGTGGGTTCTAACGACCCATCATTCAAATTAATTCTCTTTTTATAATTTAAATTAATAAAATATTTGAATCTCGTGTGCTATTTTAAGAATCGTCGTAGAAACTTAAATTAATCATATTATCACGTCGGATAATAAGTCATAACAGATGTCATGATTATTAATGTATATGTAGTAAATAAATAAATGCATTTGTAAATAATAACACAGTAAATGTTAATATAATAAAATAAATTAAACAGTGTGTATAAAAATAAATATTACCTTAGAAACATGTTCAGACAATTCGATCATTTTGTCATGTGAGATTTTTGAATTTTCATAGACATTTAGAATAATTATGTTACCATGTGAGTCAATAAGACTTCGCAGGTAAAATGATTTAAATTCTTTTAAGAGAGAAATACAATAAATAAATAAAAGATTATACCACGTGAGATCCATATATCTCCATTGATTAATCTAGTTGGTTGAGTTGTCATGTGAAACAATAAGTTTTCATAGACACGCCAATATCATAAAAATATATGTATATAAAGTAATAATATATAAATATATTATTTAATTCTTTTATTACGTGAGACTTTAAATCTTCACAGGCAATTAAAATAATCGTACTATCGTGTGAGTCATTAAAGGCTCCGTGGGTGAAATGATTAAATTAAAAAAAGATAAAAAATTAATTTTAAACTCTTTTTCTTTTTCTTTTTCATTTCAAAGATTCAAAATGGGGAAAATAGTTGAAACCGAATTACTTTTTGCAAGTCAAAGCATGCAACCAAATTTTTTAAAAAAATGTTTTATTTGCCAAATAGAAATTTATTTTTCAATTAATTTCTTTCCAAAAATAATAAAATACCAAGAAACAAAATTTACAACCTCAAATTACATGATTTTTAATCCCTTTAACAGTGTACGTAGGTCACATGCTCTTATCCTAAGTCAAGTTCACCTTATAAATAAATAATATTTTTCTCTCGTATTTAATTTTAATTTTTAAATTTTGTTTTAGATTTATTTTATTCTAGCAGGCAAATAATAAAAGAATATTTAAAATAATTTTAAAAAGCCATGCTAATTGCACACTTACCTAAGGTAACCATTTCATGGAACGGGCATTGTGAGGTGCGTAAAACCTTCTCACTCACAATCAACTCTCGAACCTATCTCTGATTACAAAGACTGTCCTTATCACCTTCATTGGCTGCCCAAACATTTTTTTCTTCAAATCTCAACGGCGACTCCTTCTTTTAGGACTAGCTTTTGCTAACTTGAAGTCTGGCTCCCTTTTCCTTTTTGCTCACAATGAAAGGGTGATCGGATCGTGTCTTGCGGTAGGCACGACAATTATACAAATCAATGACTAATCTGATTTAAGTAATGACTACTTGTTGCGCCTGATTCAGAATTTCTCGATAAGGAAAATCAAATTAACTATAAAATCAAAGACCTTTTAAATTTTTATTTATTTATTTTCTTGTTATAAAATATTTTTCTATTTTCATTATTATTATTCTCTCTCTTTTTATTTTTTATGGATGTTACCTTATTTATTCATTACGGCCCAGATAAAATATAGTGTTAACATTACTTTTCTTTTATCAATGAATAAAATAGGATAAATAACTACAACTTTTCAACTGCAAAATTTTTAATCATTCAAGTTCGAATAGGGTTGGAAATAGGTTAGGGCAAGTTAGGCCCCAGCCAAATAGGCTCAAGCCTATGTGATAAATTAGAGGCTCGAGTCTGTATAAAGCTTTTCTCATGACTTAGATTTGAGCTTACTTAAAGCTTGGTCTGATCTGAAAGTCTATTTAAAAATCTACTTGAAAGTAAGCATTTTAAATAGGCTCACATTTTAATTTTAAATGTCTCAAATATACTTTAAGATTATTAGTATAAATATATAACCTAATTTATCAATTAAATTATATAATAATTAAAAGAATTTGCCAACTACAATACAATACAACAATAAATTAATAGCATTAAAATCAATATACAAGTCTACTATGATTGAAAATATAACTTAAAATATAAAAGAATATATTGGTTAAAAATCAAATGGTAAAATTAATGTGTGTGTGATATATTACATATTATATATATGTCGGCTTGTTGGGCTCATAGGCCTAGCATATTTAACTAAATAAGCTTAACTAAAAACCTGAATCTAATTTGAACCTAGTTAATAAATAAATTGGGTTGGGCCTGTAATAGGTTAAGATGTAAGCCCCCATCTATTCTCACCCTTAAGTTCAAGTATCATAAATACCAATGATTACTTTGATTTAAGTAATAATTATTATTTTTTGATAATGATTAAAATGAGAAATTATATAACAAGGTTTGTTCTTCCTATTTTTCTTTTTCTTTTTTTACTAGGACATTATAATAATCAATAAAAGATATTAAAATCAGACAGATTCTAAAACGACTATCCTGTGAGATTTTATTGTTATTTATATGTTACCTTGTCCATATACATAACTTTATTTTATTTAATTTTATTTATAAATTATCGTGTGAATTTTAAAGAAATATTTAAAAGATATTTTTAAAATTATTTTTTATAAAAAAATAACATAATTTTATTTTTTAAATTTATTATACATAAATATATTTAAAATTTTACATATTTTTATTTTTTATTTTTTTATTGAGATTAATAAAACTGATAGAAATGGTTTATACAGAGAACCAAAGCCTGTATACACATAGATACATTCTGACGAGACGTTGCGGAGAAGTCCTAACTTGCACGTCGTTGTCTCTGATAGCTGGCAAGGTGCTAGGACGTTCGCAGAAATCTAGTCCTAATATCTCTCCTCACAGTAAATTTCTGAATATCCGCAAGCGAATCTGAAACGTGCTCGTTAATCATTAGATCTACGGCAAGGATTGCAGGCGCAGAAATATTAACGCTGAGACTGGCACAGTAAAACAGATACCTACCGCCAATGATTGGAGAAACTTTCTATGCTAATTTCGCACTAATAAAACGAGCGGCAAATATCTGCCCCTTGTACATCTAGACCTGGCTCTCTTCCGCCTCAGGCATTGCTAGAGAGAGAGGGGGGGGGGGGGGGAGATCGACGAGAGAATCAGGACCTGTGTCTGTGTGTGAGGGAGAAGATTCCTGAGGCAGCAATAAAGAAGGGGCTTTTATTGTTGTAGAAATCGACTCGCGGAATCGCAGAGAGCCAGTCAAGGCTCTGAGATGTACTGTATGCTATTTGGATTTCTGCTTTTTGGCGGCGAGAAAGCAGAAGAGATTGAGTGGGAAAAGGAGCGATAATCTCTCCGGAAATATATCTCTGATCATTTTGGATCCTCGGAATTGAATTCCATTGACTCTAATACCAGTGATTTCAGCGACTCCGTTAAAGGAAGTTTTTAATCAGTTCCTTTCTATGTATCTCTGTTTTCAAATTCAGTACCTCCCCCCTTTTCTAAAACGTTATTTGAAATTGCACTGCAATTAATTCACTTCCAAGTTTGAAATCAACTTTCAACATAAAGGTCGGTTCGTGAACCGTCGTGCGCCAGAAAAAGACAGCGATCCACATGGCCACAACGGTATTGAAGGAATCAAAGTCGCTATGCGCAGTGGAGACGCAGACGACCAAGGCACTAGTTGGAGAGGTGGTGGAAGCCGTGTCAGTCAAGTGCTATTGCTGCGGATTATTGGAGGAATGCACGCAGGCTTACATTGCTCGTGTGCGCGAGAGGTACCAAGGTCGTTGGATTTGTGGGCTGTGCGCAGAGGCGGTGAAGGACGAATCATTGAGATCAGAAATGGACATCACCATCGATGAAGCGCTCAAGCGACACATCAAGTTTTGCCAGCAATTCAGATCTTCGAGTCCGCCCAACAATCCCACAGAGGATTTGATTCTCGCAATGAAACACCTCCTGCTCCGGACTTTGGATTCTCCGAGGAAGGAGGGGCTGACGTGTCGTCCGCTGGGTAGATCCCAGAGCTGCTTCTCATCCATGCCGGGCACTCACCCAGAGGCCCACACTGAGTAACCGATATTAAAATGATGGAGGTAACTAGAGCTTTAGGGAGCCTGCATATAATCAAGGCTTAAATCGTCAAACCTAGTTTTCGCAGTGTCTTGTGTTGTCGTTTAGGTGTCTTTTAGTCATTACTTTGTTTAGTGGTTGGTTTTCTAGGATCCTTGACTTCAATCGAAGCTGGTTCTCTGTGTTTAACTGTTTGTCGCCAGCAAATAAATGTCGTTTCCTTATGGTTTGCCCAAAACACATAACTATGAAAGCACCTTCCTTTCATATTTTGTCATTCTTGCTTGTTGAAGTGCGATATAGTTTTGATTCTAGGGAGATGCTGATTAGATTATACCAATCTAAGGCGGTTCGACATGGGAAAGAGGAATGGTCGTGAAGAAAATATCTGAAACATGAGGTGTGAAGGAATTGAATGGCATGGAGAAATTTTGTTTTAATAGGGAGTTGAAACTTGAAGGATGGGGTCCATACGTATCAATGAATTTGCATAAAAAACGAGTGCTTTATGACTCCACTGTCCTGCAATTTGGAAAGTGCTAGACCCCTCTGATAGGGATACACTATCCGTGAAATCTTATCCTGTGCCTCGATTGAAGTTATTATGTGTGGCCTATTGCTAGCTCCCCAGGACACTTGATAGGATATGATCCCAAACATGATTATTTGGTTTCATATGTTGTTCTCGAATTAATTCGTGGCCTGCTCAAGACATAGGAAAAGCTTCAGTTTGCTAATGCCGATTTGGTCTGGCCAGCATTTTACAGTAGAGCCTTTCTGTTCTGTTTTGCAGGAGGGGAAAAACTGTTCTGATTCTGACATACAAGGACAAGGGAATCAGCTTTCAGTGTGCTGGGCAAAAAGCAGTGTAATTAGCACTAATCTCTGACGTGTGTGTTTATCTTCTTAGCTCCTGCTCTTGATTTGACGGTTTATCTTTCAGTTTGCTCGAGATATCTCAGTAAGAACTGTGTATGTCTTGTTAGCATGAATCGTTCTGATTAACAAATGTTTTTTTTAATATATCTGAGCTAACGATACAATCATAATCACTGTTAACAAGCGTGAACTGACGGCCAACTGTGATTGGGGGGGGGGGGGGTTTGACAAGTTCTGTTCTTGCTTAGTCTGAGTCGGTTGAAGCAAACAGAAAATAACAGCATAAAGGAGCTTTCCTCCTCTTCGCAGTTGGCTGCTTATCTTGCTTGTGCCGAAAGTGAGGAATCAAACAAAAAACTTTTATCAGCCCCACATTTCTCAATTTACACCAATGAAATGGGAAGTAAATAAGTCCAATGACTCCTATGCTATAGATCCTCTTTCTTTGACAAGGAACAATATATCTAATGTAATATTTCACGTAAAACATATACTCCCTCCATACTCATGTATAAAGTGTTTTTAATTAAATTTTGTATATCAATAAAAATGTGTTATTTAGCTGATATTACATTAAATTATATAATAATTTTTAAATTTTTTCTTTAATAATATCAGTTAATATCATGATGATAAAGGATACAATACACAATTAATATCTTCTTTCTTTTCTCAAAATAAGGGTGAAAATATTTAATTATGAAAAAGTATTATAATATTTTTTATATTTAAGAATAAAATAAGTTTTTTTAAAATATTTTACATGTATGGAGGCAAAGGAGTACTTCCCTGTTAGATTCTTTAATTACACCATTGGAGCACAGGTCTTCAGCAGTCACGACTGCGTAACTTTTACAAATACCTATCGCTTCAAGAATATTTTGTCTGCTTTAAAATACAGATATTCAACAATGAAAATGTATAATCAGATTCTTTCCATGTCTCTCTCGGCACTTGCACAGTACTCTCTGGTTAAAAAATATAAAATATTTTTTTAAAAATTAAATGTTAAAAAATATAAAATGTTTTAAATATTTTAAAATATAATTATTATTATGATAAAAAATATAATTATTACTTTTTTAAATACTTTTATTAAATATATTATTTTATATTTATTTTAAAATAAAATATTTTATTAAATACAGATAAGGATAAAAAATATAATTAATTTAAAAATAAATAATTATTTTATTAACGAGTAATATTTAATTAAAAATATTTTATATTTTTTTTAATAAAGTTAGTATATAATTTAATTAAAAAACTTTTAAAAAAAAAATTACGCCACATGGGCGAAAATCGCCTGTTGTCGAATTCCCTAAATAACCCTGACGCCGCAAGGAAATAGCCCAGAATGTGAGCAAGGTGCCCCGGCCCCCAAGTGGATCGACCACAACTCAGAATTAGGACATTTTCCGAGGGCATCTTTGCAAACTAGTCCCTGTCGAGATGACATCCCCAAGAACAAAGCAAGATAGCTAATGGATTTTCTAAAAAAAAAAAAAAAGGTGAAAAAGACCATTTCGATAGTGTGATTCGCGTCGACGATCTTCTTGATCCTTGAAACCCAATCCCCACGCGGTCTTAAAACTTCGAAGTAAAAATTGAGACACCCAAACGCAAAATCTGCCATCGTAATCGCCCACAAAACCCAGGTTTCAGAACTGATCAGAAATCTCTACCGAAAATGATGCACATGACCTTCTATTGGAGCTACAAAGTCACCCTCCTTATCGACTCCTGGAAGACTCGTTCATGGACGAGTTACACCCTGAGTTTACTTGCCTGCCTGCTGGCCTCCGCTTTCTACCAGTACCTGGAGAATCGCCGTATTCGCCTGAAGCTCATTTTATATGGGAAGCCGTCTCAGACGCCGCAGATCCGGACCCCTCTTCTGCAATCGAATCTCGCCGGAGAAAAAGTCAAGCTGGAAGTGAAGTTCGCCGGAGCGATTCTGTTTGGGGTGAACTCGGCGATCGGATATTTGCTGATGTTGGCCATCATGTCATTTAACGGAGGGGTCTTTGTTGTGATCGTGGTGGGCCTTTCCATCGGCTACTTCTTTTTCAGGACGGAGGGAGAGGATGTTTCACTTGTTGTTGACAATTCCTGTGCTTGCGCTTAATTTGAAAGTACCAAGACTTGAAGAAGATCGACCGTGTTTTGGATTTCCTCCTACAGAATAATTAATTGTATCATTATATTCTTTTTTATGTTTCTGGGAACTCAGGATCTGGTATTTAGGATGACTTTTGTGCTATATATTACCATATCCATCACCTGTGTTCTATGCTGAACTGTTTAATCTGAAATGATGTTTGCTTTTTTTTTTTTATAATTTACTGGCGTTTTGTTTGTAATGCATAAGGGCCGTCATGGTGGTCGACTGCTCGCACTAAAAATGCATTGACCAATTTGGCAAAAGATGCCATGACTGAACAGTTATGTAATCCTCCCAAGAATGAATGCGCGATAAGAGGGACGGTTCCCAAGGAAATCAGAAGTTCCATGTGGTCAACTGACAGGACTGTCGAAGAGATGAGTAGTTTTACCTTGTACTGGGCTTTTATTGTCGTAGTTCTTACTTATCTTGGCGTTTATTGAAGCAACCCACAGGTTCTCTCCCACTGCAAGGGACTTTGTCAGCATCCTTTAAGCCGAGAAAGGTACTGAAGCATTGAGACTCTGCCCTCTTAAAAATATCGTCTTCTTGAGAGACATAATAGGCCAGCCATTGTCTCACAGGTTAGGGTGGGACAAAGCCAACAATGCTGCAGCAACCTGCAAGCTGCAGAACTTGCAGAATGCACTCAGTGAAATGTGTTGTTTAGCCGAAAGATGTGTCGGTTAAAACAATTTGGCTTTTCTTGTTGGCCTCTAATCTATAAATTCTATAATGCATTGGTTAGGTTGGGAGAAATCACAGAGGCCACCCTTGGCAGTCTACTAAGCAGAAGTTTTAACTACTTCAGACTAGAATTCTGATGGATCAAACATCTGAAGATTCTCATTTGTTGAGGGAGACTCTAGCTAACCTCTCGAGCCATCTTCCTCCAAATGGTTGAGTTTGGATGACCTTCAGTTCTTGTTGGATACAACATCACCGTAGGAATCACCCTTTATTGTGACATGAAGTCCAAGAGAAGGAAGAGAATAAAATAACATAATGAAAAATAGAGAAATACTCCTATATCAAGAAGGATTTGAGCATTTCACACGGATGCACATGCATTATAAGTGATAACTAATGCTCGGCTTATACAGAATGTTTAATGATTCACAATGCTTCTGCCGCACCTTTAGCCTATAACCCAAGCAAAAGCAAGTGAAAGGTCTAAAAACTGTATTATGAAGAGCTACAACTAAACATACATAAGAACTACTAATAATAGTAAGAGATAAATCTCTTAGGCCATATTTGATATAATGAAAGAGATTTTGATGGACTTAAAATCAAAATTGGAATAGAATTGATTTACATAAGTGTGTTCGGTATGTGTATGGAATTCTTGTATTATTTATTATTTAATATATATATCCATATGTTAAAAGACTAAAATGTCCTTAGAAAAAAAAAATCTCCCTCTACACTGTCCAAACCCATGATCAAGCATTACCATTCACCCTCCCCTAAGACCTACCCACTTTATCTCCCTCATCCATGTCATACACCACTAGATCACTCCTAGACCAAGAAGCAACTGCTTGACAACAATTGGAGTAGTCAAAGCACTATACCAAAACTTAAGATCATCTTCTTCTTTGTCGTCATCGGCCGCTTGAGACGCCATGACTGGAGCTAGATGCTATATAGTTGCTTTTATGGCTATGTTTTGCATCTGCCTGATGATGGAGAGGTTGGTGGAAGACAAATAGAAACATGAACAGCAGTGGCATTGGATTGTTCAAGTCGAACCTTACTTCTAGCATTCCATAACTGCCACTTTTCGACCAAAAAATTGGCGGTAGATATCTATCTTCCACTGATTCTTGCTTAATAGGGATAGAGAAGCAAGAACTAAGAACAAAGATAAAAAGTAATGCAAATAAATTGCAACAAATCAAACAAAAACTTGTTACAGAATAACATGCCAAAACCATGCTCACCTTGCCGTCAGTCAACCATTGTATAGGGGGAGTTGCCACTGGTTTGACAAGAAGCCATTACCATTGTGGTGAGGGATGAGGATGAGGCATCATGATTGCTGGGCAGGGAAGAAGTCACCTATGAAGGGAGGAGTTGGTTAGAGGAAGATAAGGGTATAATGGATACAAAGTTCAATTTTTAGGAACTAGCTCGATTCCATGGAGTTCAATAAGGAATCCAATTCTAGCAATTTTGGCTAAATTGGATTCCATGGGAATAAAAAATTTGACATACCAAACACACTGGTTTTTGGATTCTAGATTCAATTTCATTTCCTATGTTTTGATTCTCTTATACTAAACATGGCCTTAGAGAGTTGAGGCATTGTTTTTTTTTTGCCTTCCAACTTTTATAAATTGTTGAAGTAATGGGTCTTCAATTTAAGTATAACTTTAGCTTTGAGATCCACATGAATGGGCCAATCCACTGATTTCTTTGATCAAGATCTACATTAAGGTTTGAAAAATGCATTAGTGATTTCTCTTATTAAGGTTTGATAGGCCAGCCCAATCAATTTCTCTGATCAAGCTCTGCATCAAAAAATGTTAATGATTCGCAATACTTCTATTGTGCCTTCAGCCTACAACACTAACAAAAGCAAGTGAAAAGTCTAAAAAATATATTATAAAGAACTACAACTAAACATGCATAAAAACTACTAGTAACCTTAGCTTCAAGATCCACATGAGTGGGTCAATCCAGTGATTTGTCTAATTGAGATTTACAATTACATCAAGGTTTGAAAAATGTATTAGTGATTTCTCTGATCAAGGTTTAAATGGGCCAATACACCAATTTCTCTTATCAATATCAACATTAAGGAATGTTTAGTGATTCACAATACCTCTGCTATGCCTTTAGCCCATAACACGAACAAAAGCAAGTGAAAGGTCTAAAAAATATATTATAAAGAACTAAAACTAAATGTACATAAGAACTATTAATAATTGTGAGAGATGAATCTCTCAGAGTTAAGGCCTTGTTTTTTCCCAACTTTTATAAATTGCTAAAGTAATGAGTCTTCAATTTAAGTATAGCCTTAGCTTTGCGATCCACGTGAATAGTACAATCCATCAATTTTTGGATCAAGATCTACATTAAGGTTTGGCATGCAAGACAGAATTTACTAGCTGAATTTAAAATAGGGAGAATGACACTTGAGTCCAAAAGAATTATTTTATCCTAATAAAGTCCCAACAAAGTTCAAAATACAAAGAAAGACTCTTGATCCTTAATTGATCTTTTGATAAAATTTTAAACTCACAAATTTACAACCTATTTTCTAAAATTTGCAACTCCTACTTTGATTTACAACTCAATTTTCCATTTTAATTTAAGAACACAATTTTTTATAAAAAAAACACAAAATTCAATATTGAATTTTATAAAATTATTTGTTCAACTCCAGAAATTTGTAACCTACTCTATCAAATTTTCAATTTCACCTACTATGATTTGCAACTATGCATTTCAATTTTTTTATGAACATAATCTCATTATTTATTTTTCTCATGAGAAGTTACCCATTCAATTTCAAGATTTTACAACTTACTCTCTATAGTTTGTAATTTCATTGACCTTAATTTGCAATTGAAGTTCTAAATTTTATTTAAAATTTCAAGATTTCAACCTTGAATTTATAATGTTATTTTGTGAGCTATATGTATTTGCAACTTACTTTCTCATATTTGCAACTTTATATCCCAATTTTATTTATGAACACAAAATTTTAATATTAACTTTATTTAAGAAATTTTATTTATGAATTTTGAAATAATATTTGGATCTCAAGTTGTAAATTAAGGTAAATTGAATTTCACATTAAGTAAAGTAGATTGCAAATTCTTGAATTGAACACATAATTTCTCATGAGAAAAATAAATATTGAGATTATATTCATAAATAAAATTAAGATATAGAGTTGCAAATTATAGTAGATAAAGTCGCAAATATGAAAGAATAAATTGCAAATTTCTAGAATTGAATAAATAATTTTATAAAATTTAATGTTAAAATTTTGTGTTTTTATACAAAAATTGTGTTCTTAAATTAAATTAGCAAATCGAGTTGCAAATAAAAATAGAAGGAGTTCAAATTTGGAAGTTTAAAATTTACTTAAAAAAAAAAATCAATTAAGGACCAGGGAATTTTGTCAAGATAAAACGATTCAATTAGGACTTGAGTATCATTTTCCCTTTAAAATATGCAAGGACCTAAGTCCCTCATGTGAAATATCGATGTCAATCCATCTATTGAAATTTTTGAACAATAAGAGATGATTAACTTAATCAGAGCTTGTTTTTGTTTCTGATGGCGACAAACCCACCTATGATTGTAGATAATTGACTCAAAATAGTAACCTGAAGAAGAATGGTGATTAGAAGAACATGTTGATTTAAATCTCGCCAGTTGCCAGGATAAAAAGCAAGACACAAACTCGTGCACTTAGTAGAGTACGTGGCAGAGCGAGCTTGAACGGCTGCACCGCGGTTTGAATCCAGAAAACATGACAAGTTGAGGACGGCAGACATAGTGGCCTTGAAAGTCAAGGCAGCAAGTTATGAATATTGATGAAGTAATTGTAAGCTTACGAATATATGAATGCCTTTGCTACTAAGTAAGTTTTCTTTAACACTCTTAACTACTACCAGGTTATGATAGAGTTAATGCTGACAATGAAACAAGGAAGGTATATTCATTATTTGCAACTTGCTATTTTGAATCTTGTTTATGTTAAGCCACAACAAATGCTTAACGTACATGTAAAATAAGGATTTCATTCTCGCTAACTGTCTGCAAGCCATGGAATTTTTGTTGTGTTGTTTTCTAAACTGAGCTTCTTGTAAAAATACATGCATGTAAGTGTCTCCTCGTTTGTATAATTATTTGTATATTACAACTACGATTAGTAATAACTGATGGTCCAATCTAACTCGCTAGTATTTTGTGCAGAGAATCGAATGTAGACAGATCCAGGTTTAACTCTTAACGCTTAGAGCAAAACACGTGGACATTGTGAGTGTTGGTTTTTCTTTTCTCTCATCGAGAAACATCAACTAGTGGTTGACTAGTCGTTGACAATGCTAATATTTTCAAATCAATTAATGCTGCTTACATCATATATTTTTGGGAGGATGCTGATATTACACACACACACACACACACGAATATATTTCATGATGAAACACCGACCTTGACCAAAGGCATGCGGTAGGCTTATCTCAATAATCAATCAATTAACATGACGTAAGAGTGTTAGTGGTTTAGTGCCTACTGTTGCTCGTAGTTGTTCTGTGGTGCAAATGCAAATGACTTTCCGCGGACTAACAATTCCACTGCTCTCTTGTCATGCTAAGGCAAATATACCTATCACAAGCTTTTCCTTGACTCTTGCCGCGAGAAATGCTACTTTCCTTCTCTCTGTCATCACTAACTGGACATAAAATTCAAACAAGGGTATGCCCCAACAATTACCATTAATGACAGGTTGTCTTCTGGCGTGATAGTCTTATTTGCTATTTCAGATCAAACTACATTTGCTTTGTGCATGTCTGGACTTTTTGGTCCAGCTGAACATCATCTGCACTTACATTCTGCTAAATAAGCAGTGCGTTGTTAGACAAGCATAAAAATTTTGCTATCTATCTAACTCTAATACATTTTAATAATACCGAATCATGCTGTTAGTCGATGTTGCCACCTTGATTGACTGCTACATACACAAAGGGTTCCAGCAATGCATCATCAAAGTGCTGGAGTGGCTCCAATAAGTTGACCACAACGCTCATGGTTGGTCTTGGGTGAGGGTGGTGGCTCAAGCACTTGTAAGCCAAGGCAGCGACTTTATGAGCTCCTTTGATAGAAAATCTTCCTTCCAACCGAGGGTCTATGAAGCGGTGAAGCTTTTTCTGATCCCTCAACAGAGGCCTTGCCCATTCCACAAGGCTCTGCTCTCTATCTGGCCTGCTCTTATCCACTATCCTTCTTCCTGTTATTAGTTCTAATAACACCACTCCATAGCTATACACGTCGCTCTTTGTTGTAAGGTGACCTGTCATGATGTACTCTGGTGCTGCATAGCCATGTGTTCCTATTACTCGTGTTGTTACATGTGTGTCTTCCCCTTCAGGTCCATCTTTTGCAAACCCGAAGTCTGAGAGCTTAGCCGAATAATCCTGTATTTGTTTTTTTTTTTTAAAAAGTTAATCAAACATGGAGTTTATTACCCAACTAGAATGATTATCCTTCAGAAGTAAAGTAGAGAACATATCAAGTTACCGCGTCTAATAAGATATTTGAAGTTTTGAAGTCCCTATATATCACTGGTTTGTCTGCTTCATGAAGAAAGGCTAGGCCCTTGGCTGCTCCCAGGGCAATTTTTATCCTGGTTGACCATGGCAAGGCTGCAGTGTATCCTACAAGTAATATGGCCACAGAAGTAGCGATCAGGACTCTATTTTCTTTTTGCCATTAAGAGTGACCGGAAAGAAGGAAGAAAAGTAACTTACTTCTAAAAAGTTGACTCTCCAAGCTGCCTCTTGCGATGTATTCATACACTAATAGCCTGTGTTCCTCCTCATAACAGTACCCAATTAAGTTCACAAGATTTGGATGCTTTAGCTGTCCTAGAAAGATTATCTCTGCCTAGAAAGGCAAATATGTTTCCCAGTTAGCAAGAGAATTGATACGTGACTGACAAAGAAATGGAAGCAAGTAAAGCTATTCATTTCAGAAAACTAACCAGCCACTCCCTATGACCTTGCATGCCGTCCAAGTTTAGTCGTTTCACAGCCACAGGCTGAGCTTTCAAACCAGGTCTTAGCTTGTCATCAACAAAGCCCTTATACACAGGTCCAAACCCACCTTCACCTATTAGATTACTCCAAGAGAAATTATGCGTTGCTTCTCTCAGCTCTTCAAGGGTAAATGGATAAAGCTTTGGACCAACGAGGGAGATAGAAAGATCGTCAATGGCCTGACCAGAGCTTGAAATGCTGATATCAGAGAGGCCTAGTCTCCGGAAAGAACCTTGCTTGGAAATCTTCTTTTTGGATTCCTTCAGTGGGCATTTAGTCTTGGAGCAACTGAACATCAACATGATGGACCTCCATGTAATCCTCTTATGAATCTTCATATGCACTGTTTGCAAACAAAACCTCTGCTTTTGAATGTGAATGAGGAAGTCGACATTTATGACAATGTAAAATGAGTGCAAGTAGAGAAATTTATAATCCCCCGTTTGCCAAACTACCCTACAAGAGATTCATTGACATGTAGACACTTGATTATGGATCCAAGAGTTTGGACATATGCTGAAATCATCTGTTTTATTTTATTCGCTGTAGCTTTATTTTTATATTCACAATCTAATGATCGAGTCATTAGTTAATTATAAGTCAATCAACTTGCCCACCCGTGAATCGAATGTAATATAAACAGCAGAATTTCCCCTTTGCATGTACATTTTATTAAATTTGTTTGTTTAGAAGTTGATATATATATATATATATATACATCGTACATGCTCCGCGAAGGTCGCAAAATAAAATAATAAAGCCGTCTGGTGTAGCATGTCAATTGCTGTCTAATAATTCAATATTCATGTGCTGTCTTTAAGGTATCGTCCTTGTTCCAACAAAATGAAACACTGTTTCAACAAAAGCAGGGAAAAAAAGAAAAGGAGTGTGTTATTGCAGATAAGGTACGATTGAATATCTCCTTGTTTTTGGTTGGTAATGTTCCTCGGAATCATTGTTGTCGGCGTGTCAAAATCAGATAATATCACAATAGCAACAGGACAACCAAATTCTTATTTTCAAATTGGTGGTGATCAAAGTTCAAAACTACTGCTTCTAGAACTTCTTCCCATAGCTAATTCGAGCGAGACTTCTCTCCTGACTTTATTTTTGGCATGTAATAGCATAATGAATAAAGGAAACATTGAAAACATCTAAAAAAAAAAAAGACGAGTTTGTTGAGAAAGTCAAAGAGGAAGGGTGAACTAATCCGCTAATCAATCTAACCCACAACCACTCTGACCCCTCATGAAAATATGCCGAACCTTGAAAACTCCTTGTCACCCAACAAAGTAAGCATTTGGAAAATGAGTCATGCAAAGAAAGGCCATCCTATCCTCCTTGTTTCACGATTTTATTGCGCTTTGACAGCAACCCGAGTTGAATTTTGAGACGCGAATTAACTAACTTCAAAATATTGTAGTGACTTGGTGAAGGTGCTGGAGTTTCCATGTGTGGTTATCAGTGAAATGAGGCATCAGAGGGTTGCTGTAAGTGAAGTGAAAGAGTTGAAACAAAACAGCAAACAGAGTTGGTCATCGCTTCCATGCACTCTCCAACAAGCAATACAGAACCGATGTTCTGAGTCAATGATTGAATGATTAGAATGCGAAGGATGTGACGACAGTCTGGAACTTGTCATTGATGGATTGGTATTGCTCATACGCCAACTCAATAGGATACTCTCGGGTCAAGAGCCATTCATTTGCTCTGGAAGTTAGCACGCCGCATGATCCTTACACCATTGACCCTGCATGCCAATGTGGCAGCATATGACTGTGACGATATAATATATATAGTTTTTGATTGCACAGATATCCTCCTATTGGATACACTTCTGTTTGAGATATGTGCTAAAAGTGAGCACTTCTCACAAGATTAAGGATTAGTCCTTTTCACTGACTCAACCCGATTGATGACAATATAACATGGAGTTGCTTAGAGGAAGACTATCTTTTAGAAGCGCAGGAGGAACAAGGATGACCACGAGCGTGTGGGAGAATTGGGCTGGCCTCTGCGGGTTGATGCCTTCTTCCCTCGACTCAAATTCATGTCCAGGCTCGCTGTATTTTAATTTTAAAATATTTTGTCTGTGGATTATAAACAAACAAGAAGAGACCATTGCAATGGGATGGTGACAACATGGGTATAATAAGTAGCATTATTTAGAAACCAGAGGTGATATGATTTATTTTTTATTGACCTTGAAAACATTTAATTTTGCTGAAAATAGAAGTAGCAGGCAGGCGGCATCCAAATGCGTGGGAGGTGCGTCCTCTGCTTTCCTTGTTGTGAGCCTCTTCTTTCTTTGCTTTGGTGTGTGTGTGTGTGTGTATATATATATATATATATTTTTTTTTTTCTTTTTTCAACGCCTGCGCGGCTGCCTTCAGGCTGTTATTCTAAACCTGCTTCCCACAAGTTGATAAAATTTGGAGTTTTTTTTTTAAAAAAAAACATGATAAAATTTAGAGTTGATAGTTCAGGTAGCCGTCCTTATTCGGGAGTTTAAAGCACCCAGATATCTAAAGAAAATTGTCATTACCCAGCCCGATCATAACCTATCGAGTTTATTGAGGCAAACCTTAGTACTTGAATTATTGAAGATAATTTATTTTATTCTTTCTTATTAAAGTCACCAAGGTAGTTTTTTGTGTGTTGCATAAGTTGGAATTAAAGAATTTGAATTAAATATCATCTATACAATAATGACATATTTGATATAGCTAAATTTTTGAGAGTGTCTCTATTCAATTTTTTTTTAAATATTTTATTTATACGCATCTTGTCTTTGGCTAAATTTAAAATTTATTATTAATATTTTAAATTATTAAACTTTTTAATTTTTATAAATACTATAAATATAAATATTAAAAGGTCGGTGGGAAGAAAAAGATTTGTAAAAATGTTTGAGAAAGCATACTCTTACCTTCCTCACCAAAAAAGAAAAAGATATATTTTTTCTTTTGTGTGTGTGGGGGAGGTCAAAGAATTGAATATGTATTGTTTGTCAAATCATTTCTGCCTCGCTTCTTTGATATGAAAAGACGAAGAGTCATCACGTTATCTTGTCAGAGCAAAATGTATGATGAAACATGCATAGTTTGAAGGATTAAAACCATGAGATAATGATTGATGATCTAATGATGATAGTTGATAAAACTTGATTGATGTTGAGCATGGTGAATCAGGAAAATGCATGAAAAATAGGAAAAGAAATTAAATGTCATCGATCAAGAAAATTGAAAAAGTATGGGAAAGTACAACAAGTGCAGAATGATAGTTGAGTGAAGTTAGTGTTAACAACTAGATAAATTTAAAAATGAGATTGCTCTTAAATTAATGCTTTTGTGAAAATAAATTGAAAATACATGAAAAATAAAAAAATAAATTAAATCTCATTAATCAGAAAAATTAAAAAGGCATGGAAAAGCACAACGAATGGAGAAGGACAACCGTATGAAGTTAATGCTAACGATAAGAGACGTTTGAAAATGAAGCTACTCTTGAATTAATGTTCATGTGAAAGTGAATTGAAAATACATAAAAATAAAAAAATAAATTAAATCTCATTAATGAATTAAGCGAAATTTCATATTAACATTAGCTTAAAATGTATTAACCAATGAGAGTTATTTTTTTAACCAATCACATTGAAGTTATGAGATTTGAGTTCTTTAGAAAGTATGTGGATGAACTCAATATCCTCTCCTTGACATTGGCCCAAAAAAGGCACGAAACTCCTTCACCTTGGTCGCCTAACTCTCCACTATTGACAACAAACTCTTTGAGGAGAATGGCCGATCAATCATTGATTAGGGCATATGAGATTGAGGGTCACAAATAAATTCTTGTATTGGGAATAGAAGCTCTCTAGCAAGATTTGAGAGCATAAGAAATAGCAGAGTTAATGCTTTCGTGATAGATGATTTAAGAAAAATTTGAAATAAAATTTATTGCTTCCGTCCTGTGAAAGGATGAAAATCAATTAAAATAAATAAAAAATGAATTAAAATTTGCTAGCCAATTAGAAAAAAATATTCAATCATATCAACTAATGAAAGAGTAATATTGTTATTAAACTTAAATTAAATTGATGATACAAAAATTAATGGACCAATAGGATAGGATAATTAACATTATACCAGTAATGTTGACAAATTGAAAAGAAGAGAATTGTGACCAATCACCTTCATTTTACAAGATTTGTAAATATATATTGATGATGATGATTAATGCTCCGATTGTGAAAAGATAAAAATCAATTAAAATAAATTAAATTTTGTCGACCAATTAGGAAAAATATTTAATTACATCAATCAATGAAATAGTAATGTTAATATTAAACTAAACTTAAATTGATTATATAAAAATTAATGGACAAATCAGATAGGATAATTAACATTTAACATTATATCAATGTATGTTGATCAACGGGAGATAAGAGATTTGTGACCAATCATCTATATTCTACAAGATTTGTAGATATATTGATTTGAATTTTTGCCCCAAACAATATAATACAACAACACACTCTTCTCCTTCTATCCTTGCTAGTTTAAAGAACAAAGGTTAAAAGAATAAAATTGAAAGTATACAAAGTTACCTTTTATATTTGTTTTTTCTTAATACTTTCAAAAAAAATTGAAAACAATCAACTAGTGAAATATTGAAACTTCATTTAGAGCGTGAAATGTGCAAACTAAAATCCTGTTTGATTGTTAAAGAGGAATAAAATAAAATGAATTGCAAAATTAAATGTAAAAATAAGATGATCAAGATAAAAAGGAAATATGTGAACTATATTTATAAGAGAGAAGGATAATTTAATTTATAAAATTATGATTCATGAGATTTTTTAGAGACATAATGATTTTTATATTTGTAATGTATATTATTAAGTTTTATGATACATATAATATGAAAGAATAGTCATTTAATTTATTTTTGTTTTATTTTTTCAATATATTTCATTTTTTTTAGCAATTAAAGGAGACTTAATAGTTTGGGAAGTTGTTTGTGAGCGTTAAATGAAAATGAAGGCCAAAGTAAATGTTACTTTCATTTTATTAACAGTAAAAAAGTGAAGTAAACTCACAAGATGGCTCACCCTAAAATTTTCTTAAATTTATTCGCTACCCAAATCCAGGATAAAGAAATTTTTTTAGACTTTTAATCTTGATCCTGAAATTTTCAGGAGTTTATTTAAGTCAGTGAATTAAATTTGATCTAAATTATTAACTTTAATTAAAAAAAAAACTCAAGATACAAATACAGAAAAAAGGCGAGTAGAGTTCTTCCAAGTAGCTCCGGACACGCCCCTTCACCCGGTGGTTTGGTCTGGATGAGGCAGCAAGATTTGAGATTCAACCGAGGGTGACGCAAGTCCAAATGTGGTCGTAAAGCGAGATGGGAGTGGCACTGCCATTGTAAACGTAAGGGGCGCTTTGTGGATTTTCCCAAGAAGACATTATATTTTATAAAAAAGTAGTATTCTTCTGCGTCTGTCTTTTCCAACTTTGACCGAAGCCCGCTGTGGATGAAGAAGGCTCGCCAGCTTTCGGCGCTCTTTTCTTTAATCCTTCTTTCCCTCCCCTTCCTTCGCCATTTTCCTCCTCTCTTTCTCTATACTCCTTCCTTCTCTTGCTTCTTCCAAGTCCCTTCTTTTATTTAAATTCCATTTTCTCCTTTTTTTGGTTTGGTTTGCTATTGGAATACTATATCTTTCTTCTACACCCAACACCTGCAGTTGCTTTCTACCTTCATACTTCGCCAATCCGCCAAATCTAGCGCCCTATTTCCGTCTCGCACCTTTGATAAAGATACCCTTCGCTGCTTTCCGTCTCCTTTTTTCAGGTATCATCTTCTGTTTCTGTAACATTTCTCTTTCTCTTTCCGGATCTTTTGTATTCGTTAATAATTTCTACTGCCTTTTGTTTTTTTCTTTGGTTGAGGAGATCTCCGCAATTGAGATTGTGTTTGCAGATCAAGATGCAAGCTAATGCTTCTTTCTTTTTTACTTTCTGGGTTTTTGAATTTGATTCTTGTAGCATTCTCTACTCTTTTCCTGCACGGTTATAAAAAATTTGATGGGCTGACTGTACTCTGCATGCCCGTGCTTGTTCGTATGTCGAAATTTCTTGCTTTCTAATGCAGAGACCAGCGTGAAAGAGCATGTAATGTATGGTCTGTGTTGATTGTAACGCGAAGCTAAACAGTGAAAAAACAAAGTATTGCCCGCTTAAATTGATTGCTGTTTGATGCCTAAGAGATTAATGACTTGATTATTCTGGAGATAACCAAAAATAGCGTACGGTGGCGCGCAAACACTCAGCGAAACAATGGTCCGTGTAAATACATAGCTGAGTTCTGTGTTTTTTTCTCTTTCCTTTAGTTTTCTTGTAATAATCCTCATTAACTGTCTTTGGTGGAAGTTGCTTGATACGGTAAAATCAAATAATCAGAGGACTGGAACAACGTATCAATGTCTACATGGTATCCCTAGTACCCTTAGACATCCATACAGTTTGTTCACGTGACATCAAATTATCCTCTGGTTCTGAAAGGTTGAGTTTCCTCTGGCTGTCCATTTAATCTTGCATTTTGGTCATTTATCGTACTCGGGGTTTTCTGTAAGACCTTCGCTTTAAATTCAAAGGGAAAATATATTTTAGCAAAAGCCTATATGGATAATAGTTTTAACTTTTAACACGCTCCCGCTGGTCTGTGCCCCCAAGTCTGTTTTGTTTTGTTTGGCTGTCTGTTATTGGACTAAATATATCAGCTTTGCATGCTGATGCGAGTTGCATGAATACATTACCTCGGGAGTGGATCCTAGTCGTCTTTGTTAACCCCTGAAACTGTCCTAGTTCTCTTGTTAGGTGAACTCAAATCCCAGTATTGTAAGTATTGGCTAACATCATGGCCTTGAAGCAGTCTTATTTCTGGTGGAGCTTGACTTTCGCTTCTGCTATGCTGTCTTTTGTAACAGAAATTATGGGCTTACTCTGCAGCAGAAATAGTCGATATAATGATGCTGATGCTGAAGAAAATGCACAGGTTTGTTATGCTTGAGTTGGTATGCTATTTTGTGCTCGTATATGTTTCCTTTTTTAGCTGATGCTTATAGTGTTCCTACATCATTATTTAGTAATTTTGAAGGGCTTCATGGGCCTAATTTGATAAATATGACATGCATTTGCAGGCTGCTGAAATTGAAAAGAGAATAGAACAAGAAACGAAGGCTGAAAAGCATATTCAGAAACTTCTCCTACTTGGTACATCTTACTTGGGAAGTGCCTTCTTTTAGATTTGTTGTGTGTACTTCATGTGCATTTCTAAAGTTGAAACTTGTTTATTTTAGTATTTATGAAAATTTTAAAATCAAGTATCATATGAGTGATGATGGTTTTCATGGTTTGATGCAATGTCATGTATCGTTTGTTGGTTGTGTCTGTTAGCTAGTAAAATGCTTCCAAAAAAATAGCGAATGCCTTGATGTGATTGTGCGATAGTTGAGCTTTTTCTAAAAGTAAAATGTTGTCTCCTCTATTGATAAAACAGCAATCTCTGCTGTTCTAGATAAGTGGCCTATTCCTGGGCATTGTCACAATACACCCTTGAATGAGTCTCTCGTGTTATTGTCATTTGACATCTTGCTTCCTTTTGTTATTTCTCTTGTAAACTGATTCAAATCAATTTGACGCCTCTGTTGTTTAGGTGCTGGAGAGTCAGGGAAGTCTACGATCTTTAAACAGGCAAGAAATTGCAGGATTCTGTGCCTTAGCATAATATCTATCTGAGGAGTTTTTGATAGTTATTATCTGTTTATGATATGCAGATAAAACTCTTGTTTCAAACTGGTTTTGATGAGGCAGAGCTCAAGAGCTACGCCCCAGTCATTCATGCAAATGTGTATCAGACAATAAAAGTACGCAATATTTGAAAGGGTGTGTTGATTATTTTTCTTTGACAATATGCATAGTTTATGGAGTCAAATGTCCATAGTTTGGCATTAAAAATGCATATGAGATGAGCTTTAATGGAGTTAGCTGAGAAAACTGCCAGTTTGATCATAATTTGATGTTATTGAACAGATACTGCATGATGGATCAAAGGAATTGGCTCAGAATGAAACCGAGTCTTCAAAGTATGTGATATCCAATGAAAACAAGGTAGGTTCCTCTCAATAATTTATGCTCTAAATGGTTTAATCATCTGCTGGCCTAACAACGCGTGCTAATAACATTGTGTTGTCATGCAGAAATATCATGAGAAAAGAAAAACTAATCAGTTATTGATTGCAAATCCTTTTTTCTATGCAGCTCACCTGCTTTTTCAAACTTTTAAGCTGAAGATTCTTCTGTATTCATAAAGAGCTTGATACTTTGCAGACTCTTCTGTCTAAGTTCTGATAGCTTGATGTTTCTCGCAGGATATTGGAGAGAAACTATCAGAGATAGGAGGCAGGGTGGATTACCCACATCTCACTAAGGAGCTTGCACAGGAAATAGAGACCTTGTGGAAAGATGCTGCAATTCAGGTTTCTGGATGGCATAATTTTGCTGCCTTTCTCAGCTTTCTTTACCCCCCCCCCAGGGGAGGGGGGTGTCGGGCATCAGTTACTTAATATTTATGTTCCATGGATTTTACTTGTAACTGTAGGAAACATATGTCCGTGGTAATGAACTCCAAGTTCCAGATTGTGCCAATTATTTTATGGAAAATTTGCAGAGACTGTCTGATGCTGATTATGTTCCAACAAAGGTATCCGAACTGCATATTTCTGTTTTTTTTGTTTGTTTGTTTGTTTGAATGCATGTTTGAAAGTAAATTTCTAATAGCTGTTTTATTTACAACTACAGGAGGATGTTCTGTATGCTAGAGTTCGTACCACTGGTGTTGTAGAGATCCAGTTCAGGTGAATACTCCCATCTGACATGAGCTGTCATAATGAAAGTCTGAAATAACATGTAAAGATGCATATAAATGTTCCTGTTATATATCCCTGTTCTGAATTTTCTGAGCGAACAGATTGAGTGGCAGTAGCGTTGCTCATTAACTCGTACTTTGCCTTTCCAAAATGGTGGCATTTTATAGCCTTGGGGTTAAGGATTAGAAGTCTTTCTAGTCTGAGTACGAACCTGGCAAACACCATGGATAATATTTCTTGAGGTGTAAATTTCACAAAGGCTTCTAAAGGGCACAAGGAACTTCTAAAGGGCATAAGGAACTAGTTTTTCTGTATTTAAGTACGGAACAAAAGTGCTTTCTTTATCAATGATTATATGGAGGATAAGCAATTACAATGTCTGGTTCAACGATTGAGATTAAAATGTTTTCCCTTAAGCATGCTCTAGTAAGCTTGTTTTCCCATCTGATTCAGTATATGTAACTGGCACGTTACCTATATCCATCTGCATTTTTTATCATTGTACTGACTTCATATTTTATTGCTATAATTGGTCTTTGTTGCTTGTGGTTATGCCTGCATTTCATTTATACCTACTATTTATCATGATTTGCTCCACAGAATAGACTGACTAGATGACTATATCTTTGATTTTTGACAGTCCAGTTGGAGAAAACAAGAAAAGTGGTGAGGTTTATAGGCTCTTTGACGTTGGAGGCCAGAGAAATGAGAGGAGAAAATGGATTCATTTGTTTGAAGGAGTTACTGCTGTAATATTCTGTGCTGCTATCAGCGAGTAGGCTGACCTTCCATTTGATTACTTATTTCATATGAATTGCTTGGTTTGTTGTTTTAAATCTGATGGTTCCCAGAGCAAGATTGTAAAATTTAGTAGAAGTCTCTTTATACTCCCCCTGACTGGAACCCTACTTACAATAAAGTAGTGTTGAAGACGTTTGTAGTATAGTTGAATGCGAAGCTCGAACTAGTCTGGCAGCTGTGAATATTAACATTAATAAGATTATTTGTACCAGGTTAAGCAATGAGCAGGCTGATAGTCTGCCTACCCTTTCAATCTTACTGGCAATTATCAGTTTGTGTAAAGCTGAAGTGTTGACCTCACACTTGCTTTCCAGGTATGATCAAACACTTTTTGAGGATGAAAACAAGAACAGAATGATGGAGACTAAGGAACTTTTTGAGTGGGTCCTAAAGCAGCCGTGTTTTGAGGTCTTCTTTCATGCTCTATTTTTAATGTCTGTGGGGAACTCTTATTTAACTTTCTCATTTCGTTGTTTCCTTTATGTGATACTTGCTGTTGGAGGGCTTTATATCTTTTGACAACTAGCATGCGTAAAGTTGGTACCCATCTTAATAATGATGTCCTTTTTGCTTCTGTGCAGAAAACATCCTTCATGCTATTTTTAAATAAGTTTGACATCTTCGAGAAGAAGATCCTAAAAGTAAGACTTGTCTGAACATTGTACACTGTCATAGGTGGAAGCTATAGATATTTCACTCTACTGATTCAAGTCCTGCATTACGCAGGTCCCACTTAATGTTTGTGAGTGGTTCAAAGATTACCAGCCAGTTTCCTCCGGGAAACAAGAGATCGAGCATGCATACGAGTAAGCAACTTTTTTGCAGTGAAAGCCTCCAACATTTAGATGCAAATAGTTGACCTGGCTATTGAAAGCCTTTAAAATTCTGGCAGATTTTCTTAAATTTTGCTATGTTGAGTTTGACACTGAAAGCCTGAAGTCTCCCATGTCGAAGTAGCTTTATAGAAATTTAAAGAGAGGGAACAATATGCCAATTGCTTTTATGATTTCATCATAATGAAACTCAACAAGTTGGATAATAAATTATGGCTGCAGGTTTGTGAAGAAGAAATTCGAGGAATTGTATTTCCAGAGCACGGCACCTGATCGTGTGGATCGCGTCTTCAAAATTTACCGGACGACTGCCTTGGACCAGAAGCTTGTGAAGAAGACTTTCAAGCTTGTGGATGAGTCATTGAGGCGGAGGAATCTGTTCGAAGCTGGCTTATTATAACCGAGAAACGATATACTGGGGGGTATGAAGTAATCCTCACAGTGGAAGAGGTCGTAAGATTTTGGGTACATTAGGGGAGAGGTATACTAAATATTTATTCCGATTTGTTGATTTTTATGCCCAGGTAATTAATGTTGTTGAATGGGGGTATATTTGAGGGTAAAATTAGTCGAATTGAAGTTTCACAGAAACGACATCATGATTTGTGAATCCTGATTATCTTCGATCCAAACCCACTAATGATGTATTTCATAATCCATGTCTGTTAATGTTTTTTCTTCTAAATATCATATGACGTCCTATCAATTTAGAGAGTTGCCTTGTGTCTGAAAACCCTCAGTCGGGTACAACTTACCATTCTCATGCTTGATCAGAAAATCTCTTTTAGAGTTTGACAAGGTAAAGAAGCAAGAAGCTGATAGATGTGAGCAGCAGAATGAGTGGAAACTGGAAAGAAACATGAATGGCATTAATGGTGATGTCTCATTTCATTCATGCGCGAGGCAGAGGGCACGCCACATGTCCCGCAGCCAGAAGCACAAGCTGTCTCACCCAACTTTCCATTCCAACTAAATTATTTGTTTATTCCAACTTTTTAGCCATTGCATGGGTCAGCCTTCTCAGATTTGCCCGAAAAAGAGAGAGCCTTTCTATTTTTATGCTCACTGTTTCTGCTTTCAAATACTGGAAATGATGAGTAAAAACAATTGAATCATTTTGGTGAATTGGTTTTTTTTTCCGCTTCTGCTTTCAGTTTTAGTAATTTATATAGCACGCGCTTTATGTTATAAAGATCCGAAAGGACTTGGACTCTAGCTGTCTCTGTTAAGCACCTTTGCCAGCAGCTCTTGTTCAGAAGCACGCACTAAAAGATAAGTAAAGCACTCTCAACGGATTTGATCACCTTTTCGGATACCCAAAAAAAAAGAAAAGAAAAAGAAAAAGAAAAAGGGAAGGGACAAGCCCAATGTTTATTTTCATTTGGGCCAACATTCCAAATAGTGTTTAAAAAAAAAAATGGGAAGGGGGTGAGGGCTCCACCCCGCAAAGTATATGCCTGCGTGATGGATTAACCAGCAGGTACGTGCACGTTGACAGATATGTAGATCCAAGCAACGTCGACAGGAAGATCTCTTTTAAGATATTTCACACGATGCAAAGTAAGTCGTCAAAAGCTTATTACACTACTTCATAAATATAAATATAATTTTAAATTCCCAATTAAATGATTTACTTTCTAACCTAAATTTATGGCTGCATGAGACTTCTCTGAATTTTCAGCCTTGTATCACCCTCCTTACTTTTAAAATTTTTAAATTAACCCCTTAATTTTTAATGTTGTTTTTAAAGCCATTAATTATATTATTTTTTAATAAGAGTAAAAATGTTATTTAACTAAAAAATACTATTAAATAAAAATATTATATCGTAGAACTATTTATAATTAATTTTTTTATATATTTTGAATAGTTTAGGCATTAATAGCTAAAAAATATAATTATTGCTATATAAAAATTTAAATATTTATGTTTATATTAGTTTTATCTATATTTTTTGTTATCAATTGTGCATTGTTTTATTATATTAAAGGATTTATTTATATTTATATTTTCAGGTTTAATTAATATAATATACATGGCTAAAATATTTGAAATTTAAAATATTAACAAGTTAGATTAATTTATCCTTCAATACAAGAAAACTATGCACCACTGATAACAAAAAAAGGATAAAATTAATATAAAAGTAAATATTTAAAATTTTATACAGTGATAATAATATTCTTTTGGCTCTCAATTACTTAACTATCCAAAAAATATTATAAATTGATTAGCCATAGTTCTATAATATAATTTAATATTATTTTTTTGGTTAAATGACATGTTAAACCTTATGAAAAACAATATAATTAATGATAGAGGGTTTTGAAATATAAAATTAAAAGCTAGGGGGTTAATTAATTTTCAATATTTAAAGGTGAGAGGGTCATATAAAACTATTTCAAAGTTAAGAAAAGTTTTATGTCTTTTACCCTAAATTTAATCACAAAAAAATTAATTATTTAGTTTTTATAGTTTTAGCACAGTTGTAACTCAATTTTTAAACTTTCATTTATTGTAACTTAATTTTTATAATTTTAACTTAGTTGTAACCTAGTCCTTAAATTTTGCTTCTTGCAATTCATCTTTATAGTTTCAACTACTTAAATATTGATCCATATATTTTAAAAAATAAAATTATAAAGATTAAAAATATTTTAAACATTTAATATTTATTATATTTAAAGATTAAAGGATTAAAATTATAATATTTTGAACTTATAATATTTATAATATTAGTAATAAAATTACAAATATTAAAATTATATTAAAATTTATAACTAATATTCTAAATTATTAAACCCTTTTAATCTTTATAAATATTAAATGTTCAAAATATTTTTAATGTTTAAAATTTTATTTTTTAAAATATAAGGATCAATATTTAAGTTGTTAAAATTATAGGGACTAAATTATCAAAAAAAAAGTTCAAGAATTGAGTTACATCCAAGTTAAAACTATAATGTCTAAATTATAACGAGTCAAAATTTAGGAACTGAATTATAACTGTACAAAAATTATAAGGATTAAATGATTATTTTTTTTATTAATTATCCTTATTCTCTGCTCCCACCTCTCATGATCTCATTTAATAAGGGATATTTGGAGAATTTTATGTAATGATGTAGACGTTCTACGATATGACTCACATTTTGGTTCCTGTGAACTGTTAATTGCCAAGTGATTTTTAATTAAAATATAACAATTGCATAATTTTTCAATTGAATCATATAATTATTTATTTAATCATACTCAACCCATTGCATTTTATTAATTTAAAATGGAAAAGATATGCATTTTGATTGCAAAACAAAACCATGCAGGTTAATTTTTGACGCCATGAAAGCAATGTTTAGAAGTTGACTTGCTGATTAAATTAAAGGTAATGCAATCTAAAAAATCCAGTGACATGCTGGCTGGCGAGAAGACGTGCGGTGTATCCTTATTTTCCTCAGAATCGGCAAAAATATAGCTTTCTCATTGTTGGTATAGTTGCCGGATCTTTCACCACCGCATGTACATGTTTATGTATAGCATTCCGTAATACTGGTTTCCAAAATGGCCCTAACAAAAAAATCTCACTCTACAATTAAAGCCATTCTTCTCCACCTCTGAATTGCCCTCTCCTTTCTTCCTACTTATACCCGGAGATTCCGCACACCCAAATGAAAACCCTTCCCTTTCTATGAAAATAGCTTCATCGTTTCTTATATTTTACCCTGTTCATCACCTCGTACGTAATTTTGTGTTTTAGGTTATCGAAAGATTCGTTCTGGGGTTAATGGGTATTCGTAGATCGTCATTGGCCATAATAATATTGACATGGCTTTCTGTGTTTGAAGGATGTTTAAATGTCGTCCATGGCGACTTTAATTATAAAGAAGCTCTCACCAAGTCCCTCATATTTCTAGAGGCTCAACGCTCAGGGAAACTCCCTCCCAATAACAGAGTCCCTTGGAGGGGAGACTCAGCACTTGACGACGGAAAACTCGCTAATGTATGCCTTTAATTTAATTTCTCTCACGAACACGAAATAAACAATGAAGTTGATTATATATAATCAATTCAGCTTAAACATATGCCTCGTAATATTGTAGGTGGACCTTTCTGGAGGATATTATGATGCAGGAGATAATGTCAAATATGGTCTGCCCTTGGCTTTCACAGTCACTACTCTTTCATGGGCTGCGGTATATTTCAAGGACGAGATTCAAGCTGCGAAGGAGATGGATAGTGTTCGTGACGCCATTAAGTGGGGCACCGATTATCTTCTCAAATGTGCTTCCCGACGCGATCGATTATACGTGCAGGTGAGCTTCTCCTTCTCATGCATGCGTGGAAACAATATTAAATTCATAGGTTTCTTCTGCACATTATTATATGCTCGCGTTTGTTTCTCAATTCTCATGATGATGATGATGATGATGAAGGTGGGGGACCCAGAAGAGGATCACCATTGTTGGGTTCGACCAGAAAAAATGAAGACAAAACGAACAGTTTTGCAGATTGGTGAAGGCACGCCCGGTTCCGAGATCGCAGCAGAAACTTCAGTAGCATTGGCTTCTTCTTCCGTTGTTTTCAGAAGTGTAGATCGTGCCTATGCTCGTCGTCTTCTCAACAAGGCCAAACTGGTAATAAAAAATCCAAATGTTTTGGTAACAAATTTGGATGGGCATGGGATTAAACCTAATCATTTGCTAATTATAACTTGCTTAATTTCTTTGACGTTTAACTGGCTGCAGCTTTTCAAAATGGCAAAAACCCACAAGGGAACTTATGATGGAGAATGTCCCTTCTACTGCTCTTTTTCTGGCTACAATGTAACAATAACTTGCTTCACATATTACCTTTCAAGCCCGGCTTCATTTATTATTTACATTCTAATGAGATCAAGTGGGGATGCAGGATGAGTTGTTGTGGGCAGCAACATGGCTATATATTGCAACCAAGAAGCCAATGTATTTGACGTATATTCAAGAGGAAGCCATAAGTGCTTATGTGAACGAGTTTAGTTGGGATCTTAAATATGCAGGAGCTCAAGTTCTTATCACCAAGGTTTAATTTTAATATACCTCAAACTCTTCCTCTCTAATATGTTTCTTATATTATAACTAACCAACACGCTGTGTATATATACTGCTCAGTTACTTTTCGAAGGAGTACCGAAATTGGAGACATTCAAATATCAAGCCGATAGTTTCATATGCTCCGTCCATCCCGAGAGTCCCTACAGTCAGATTAAATTAACTCCGGGTTAGTGTCTATCTCTCCAACGTAACTCTTTTTAATTTCATGCATTAATCAATATTGTCATAATTAATTAATATTCAACATGTGATTATCAACCTCTTTATTATTTTTAGGTGGCGTCGTTCACTTGAGGGATGGAGCCAACACGCAGTATGTGACCGGCACGGCAATGATATTCACCCTCTATGGCGATATTCTGGAAGAACACAAGCAAAAAATCACCTGTGGAACCAAACAATTCGCCGCGGCTGACCTCTTCAACTTCGCCAAAAGCCAGGTAATGAATCACCCAGCCAAAAAATAAGAAGATTTTAGTAGCAAATACGTACTGAGACAATAATCAGTTATATTGAGCATTTTGCATTTATGCATGCAGATGGATTACATTCTGGGGAAGAATCCGGAAGGAAGATCAATAATGGTGGGATTCGGGAACAACCCGCCAAAGCAAGCGCACCACAGAGGAGCGTCGGTGCCGATGACGTCGGCAAACGAGGAGGTAGACTGTCCGGCGAGCTTCATCAAATGGTTACAACACGACGGACCAAACCCTAACGAGCTCACCGGCGCCATCTTGGGAGGGCCCGACAAAAACGACCACTTCGACGACAAACGTACCGATTCTGCAGCCACCGAACCATGCACCTACGTCAACTCTCTTGCCGTCGGTCCTCTCGCGAAGCTCGCATCTATTTATAATAAATAATTTAATATTAATTGTTTTCCCAAAGAAGAAAAAAAAAAGAATACACAGTACGATACATCTACCAGCTATACCACAAACTTGAAAGCATTTGTTCATTACCTGTTTGGTGGGCCGCTGCTGGCCTCAAATTTGGTAAGCATCGAGACAATTATATTCGCTTTTCATTATTACTTCATGTACGCCTTGGAGATTTTGGATACGGGCATATATTTACATTCCATTTACACGCAAGGACTAACTAATTCTCATGTAGTTTTGATTTCCTAGCTTTATTGTATTGTTCTTTCACCGAGCCACTGTGATTTGGCTTTGGCTTGGGAAATTTATGTAATTTACGTATTGAGGACGGATATATTATATATAATACATCAGCTTCAATATGTACTATTTGCTAGTATCTATCTATCTGCTAGTGAATTTCTCTTACAATATAAATGCCGGGGTGATTTGGAAGGGAAAAAGTGGACCACTATTGCTGCGTTTGTCCGGAGAAAGTGACGCATGAGATGATAAGGCCAACATAAAATGATCCCCAACAACGTCCAACATTATGAATTTAATTGGAAAAATTTAATATAATATTGCCACGTTTTTATTAGCTATTTAGGATAAGGATGCTTCACCGTACAGTTGATTGAACATGAAGGAAAGGCATAGTCCTTGGGTTGGGTCGGGTTTAGTGAAGTGATGTGGGTGGGGATAGAGACGGTTGGTGCGTGTGAGTGGTGAGTGGTGAGTGGAGAGCACGTGATTGAAAAGACGCGGGACGGGATGAGGTGGAGCTTGCACCATCCTCTTGTGTTACCCAAAAGAAACGAAGGAGACATGTACGGGCACATGTTCCGCAACAAAAGCCTTCAACAACCTTGAAGCCTTCGTGGGCCCCACCACCACCCCTATTTCCCGATAAGTTTCATTTTTCCCCTATGATCCCCTGCTCTGCCCCCCCATCTTTCGTTCCCTGCTCCTCACCAACGAAACCAAAAATCAATTCTCACCCGTTCATCACCAACACACGCTTTTTTTTTAATAAAAAAAAAATGAAAGTATAACATATTTTTAACTAGTGAATGAGTTTGTGACTTACAACTCGCTCTTCACTTCTAGCAATAAGAAGTTGCGATATCCTTATTGTTAATATAGTAGGTTTACTTGTGTTTATATAATATCTAAATAGCTAAAAAAATTATTTAAATTTCGATCAAATATGTTTCTTACTCAAATATATTATTTGAACTAAATTAAAGTAGTATTTAAGTATATTTGAACTCAAATATGTTATATTTATAATTTATAATTCGTCCAAGAACCCTAATACAAATGAAGATATATGGTTATTTTTTTGCCAACCCGAAATTTAGTTTAAAAAAAATTTATATTTTGTCAAATAAAAAACATACGGATATGTTTACTTGAATTAAAATTATTGCAATAAAAAAAAAAACAATGAAGTCAAGGCAAGCTAATAGGCTGGCCAAGTGGGTGTACGACGGGACCCCAAGCAGGCGATCACGGCTCATGCACACGTATTTTTTTAACGTCCAGTGGATGAGGATAAGACCTTCGAAATATATTTTCGCTGGCCAAACAATAAATATAAATTCGCTGCAATTATCCTGTTCCACTCTTTCATCCATATCTCATTTAGTACGATAATAATATAATAATAAATAAATAAATAAATAAACAACGAAACAAATAAATAAAGACCACCATTTCCTATCCTCTGATTCTGTGTGCTTCCCCCAAATCCATTGTCTCCAACACCTGTCCGCGCTCTTCTCTTGTCTCTCTTTCTGCTTTATCACAACGTTTCATCTTCGTGCGTTGTGCGCTTGGAGTTATCTTTTTGGTCTCTGTTTAATTTGTTCGAGTTTCGCATTTCTGGAAATATTCAGCTAGATCAGTGCTGGTGAATTTTGCTTGTTAACTATGCGGATCGAACCTTCGGGATTGAAGCGTGTGGTCACATGCGCACCTGCGTTCTTCCAGTTGCCGGAGGATCTAAAGCTGTGTACCAGGATCGGTGGGAATCACGCGGTGCCGGCTGAGTTTTCGGTTGATCTGTGCAGTACGTCGTCTTCTTCAACGTCTTCGATCGGGAGAAATAGCGATCTGTCCTCAGAAAGGTCAACCGTGGATGAGGATTGCGGTGAAAATGAGGCTCAGAGTGCGTATAATGGCCCTTTGGATATGATGGAGTCACTAGAAGAGATGTTGCCAATCAGGTATCATGCATTTCCAACTTATCCTTCTTAGATCCCTAATAATTTGTGCTTCTTTTTCTTCTTTGTTGAGAAATCCATATACCCTAGTTCAAGGTTCAGGTTCATTTGACGTAATCATTACTTACGTTTTCTCTGTTTTGCGATGCATAAAATTATGAAGACAGCTTTCATCACTGACGTTTTCACCAAGTAGGATTTATACTAGAAAACACGGATTCTAATTTAATTTGATACAGAAAACTTCCATTCCTTCCTCACTTCAAATTAGGAACAGATTATCCAGCGATAAGTAGATTTGATCCAGGCTGTCATGTTTCATGAGGATTTCTTAGAATTTTGCATTTTTATTTACAATCTGAAGAGAAGGTTCTCGATCGTTCACCGTGTTAAATACGGTGATAATATTCATATTCAGTATTTTCAGTGTAATAGTCGTGAAATCTATAATTGATTTGAGATCGACCAATTGTCTGATGTATAGAATAAACTGTTGCAGGAGAGGGATCTCAAAGTTTTACGATGGTAAATCCAAGTCCTTCACGAGCCTGGCAGAAGCTTCGTTTTTACCATCCGTCAGAGACATTACTAAACCAGATAGTGCCTACACTAGGAGGCGCAGAAACTTAATGGCCTTCAATCACGTTTGGGACAAGAATCGAAATTTCCCTTTAAGAAGCAATAGCGGGGGCATTTCTAAGAGATCAATTGGCTCGAGTCGAAGCACTCTGGCTCTTGCAGTCGCCATGAACAACTGTGACAGCAGTAGTAGTACAAGCGAGGATTCAAATTCGAGGTCACCTCCACCACTTCTTCCACCGCTGCATCCAAGAAGTAGGGTACCTACATCCACCGGTGCCGGTGCATCCCCTCCAATTGTGCAGAGCTCTGCTTCTCGATCATTCTCCTTGGCTGATCTGCATCATTGTGCCACGGCTGCGAAATTGGATATGTCGAGTTCCTCCCGCAATGAAACAGCTCTTGGTAAACTAATCTGACGAATGAACTGGTGTTTGAACTTCCCTGAATAAAACTTACTTGAGTGCTAGTTGATTCCACGAAATGTTGTAGAGGAAACATACAAAGATCTTCGCTCCTAATCTTCTAACCACTTGGACATAGCATGCACTAACCCCTTCCCTTTCATCATTAATTTTGAATTGTAAAAGTAATATGTTGATACACTCTAGAAGTCATTCACCCATGACCATTGCAATTTGGTGTTATTATAGTGGTAAAGAGCGTTTACTTGGAGAATTTGCATTGATTGTATGGATATTCGGGGACCTTTACCTGTCAAGTTTGCTATGCCATCTACTTGAGGTTATAATAAAGTGATAAATCGGCGAAACTGTCACACGTTCAATTACAGGAGACAGGATGATGAACGCTAACTCATCTATTTATTTTGACGAAAAGACGTTGCTAAAATTTTTAACGTCCTCCTGGAATTTAGAGTTTGTTCGCCTCAAGTTCATGACGCCAGGAGCTATATCCGGACTACTGAAATGTGTCCTATATTTCATTCAGTTCACGGCAAAGCAGAATGGTTTTTCTGTCGTCTATCCTCGCTGCTGCGTAGATAGTACGGTTATCAACTGGAGTGTTAGATCGATTCAATTACGTTCTTAAGGAAAGTCTTGGATGCTTCCGCGTTTCTTGCCCATCTCTTCATGAAATAAAAGGGCTCCATAAATAGTGTTTCGTCAAATAGGAATCTAAAACGGGCTCGCCCATGTCTCCAATTGAACGATCGAGAAAACACAGAAAAGAAATGCTATTCATTATAACAGATTCGACGAACTTAGAGCACCACCAACATAATTACTTGAAGATGCCATGGAAAAGACTACAAAGTGACAGGATGATGCTATAGCAAGATCAGTATTTACATCAATGAATGAAACAATACTTCACTCCTTTTGCCTAGCCCTAGGCCGGTTAACAAATACATTTATATACATCATTACACCCTGACCCCCTAATAAGAAGAGCAGAGAGGAGGAGCGAAATAAAAATACAAGGAAGCTTTAAACTCCTAAACTGCCATCTACCCTTAATTACAACTTTCTGGACAAACTAATAGAAGAAATTGTAGACTGGACCTATGAAACCACTTCTCCCAATTTGATCGGTAGATATCTTGATTTACAAATGTATTGGCATTATCAACAATATCTGATGACAGCTAAGCTTACAATCCATGTGAAGGAAAACTTGTGTTTCCAACTTGCAGAGCACTGCGGTCAAGACCCAGAGATGCAAATGCATTAAGCTCACTTGGCTTTGGAAACAGCCTTGAAACCGTAGGTCGATCAGTCACTTCTAATGCGCAACAAGAAACTGAGCGCAAGGATATTCCGACAAAAATGGTGGGTGATCAATATCATCAGGATCGATCGCGGATATTGCCATATCTATGTCTTCAGCAGAAAATGGAATGCTGCAATAAGAAATTAAGTTGAAGACAAGCCAATAGCAACATTACAACTAAAAATAAATCTAATCCTTATTTCATTCTCCAAGTTTTGGCCATCATTTCGTCGAAGAAAAAGTGTATCATCAAATTCTTGAGCTGCCATACACTCAACACAAGCCGCTGTGCTGAAGGCTCTACCAAGAATAAGCATTAAAGCTCTACTTCTCAGTTTGAGGGAGAATGTTGGTGATCATTTTAGATCTCCTTGAAATCCCTCGGCAATCACCCCACAGCTAGCTGCCTGTTCTAAAATTGTGAACCTTTCCATTTAATTTGCAATTATATTTTGATGTTTCCCTGTTTTATTTCAAGACTAGAAAACATATTACAACCAAAATTATAAGCAGAATAAGAGCTATCTAACAATAAAAACTTGCCAACAAAAGACTAGTCTTTGCCATCAGCAAGAACAACTAGGCATCCTATAAGTTCATTGAACAATCAGGTCTTAAATCTGCAAACAAATGAAAGATGCAATTAGATTACCTAAGATCATCATCCAACAAGAATGAATTTGAAGTCAGATTTTGATTGTCCTTGCTCACAATTTCCCTCATTTCACTAACTACCTGTTCAACATGGACGACTTGGAAATTTGAGCAAACTAGCGTCATATTTTCTCAGAAAAAATTAACACTTAAAAACACTACTTGCCTCATTGGATACACTCTGCGTTCCATACTTGTCATCCCAGTACATAGTACTGATGCGATATATTTGCCTCACAGTCAATGCCTGTTAAAGAAGAGCACTGAAGTTATAACTTAAGCTTCCCTTTTCATTCAAATTTGAGACAAATTCCACTCAAAAAATTGCTCGCAAAGCAGGTTATGCCCTGTTACTAAGGTAAGAGGAAGATCTTATGACTAAGGAACAAGCATGTTCCTACTAAAATAAAATGAAAAACACTACTTTTGGTGTCTACACTTTGATCAAGTTTTGATACAAACCTTTGCACGTTTTTTCAATGTTTTAAGTCTATACTTTTTTCCATTTGCAACATTAGTCTCTACATTTTCAGAGAGAAGTTAACATAGCACAAAAAGTGTTAATAATAAGCAAAAACGGGGAAAAAAACCTACATAAAATGAAATTGGATTTCATCACAAAGCAGGCATTTCATCACACTTTGCTAATCCTTCACCGCTGTCGACTATCACCGCCGTCATTCAACAGTCTTCTTTGACATCATGGAACTGATCGTTTAAGTTGAGGGTCCAAATCAACCTCCTTTATTTCATTTGATGTAGCATTTTTTTTTATTTTTGCTTATTAAAAAATCCATATTAGCATCAGTTTAACACATAAGCACAAAATTGATAGTGTTAATTGACATGTCAGCAATATTAACACCATTTGTGCCACATTAATGTCCCTTTGAAGGACCAAGTTGCAACTGAAGAAAAGTATAAAGACCTATACCAAAATTCAAGTGAAGTGCAGGGACAAAAAGTAGTGTTTCCCAAAATTAAACCATGAAGGTCCATAATGTTCCTCATATATTCCTAAAACAGTTAAATGGCTGGCATGGCATGTACTTAACAATCAGACACAATCAAAGGATGACAAATTAAATAAGTTTGAAGATAAGACTTAGGAACAAGCATGTTCCCTTCCTCTACAAAAATATTATCCTTCCTCTATTCTTCGAAAGGCTAACCAAGATGCCAATTATATGTCAAATCACACCTTCCTCACTCAAAGCTAGAGTAGTTATGTTGCCCATATTTTATGTCAGAAGCAAAAGTAAAATCATGATGACCCATTTTTATCATTTGAACAACAAAAAATATAATTAAATATCATCCTAGAATCTTTGCAAATGATGGAACTTGAAAAAATCGCCAAGGGCTAATCTTTAGGATCAATAAGCGATGGCTTCAGATTGTGATCAATAAGTATGATAAATACCGGGCAAAGATCCAGTCGAATCTCTTCCAAGGATTTCTTCCTCTTCTGATGAATTACCTGTGTAATTCAAACAGAGGAGAGCATAAATAAGACATGCAGTTCCATTTGACAGTTTCGGGAATCCCAACAGATTAAGGTATTGCTTATACCAGAAACCCAACAGCTTGTCTTATGTAATTCAGCTCATGCCAGGATGTTCCTGCATACTGTATTTAACTAAAAACATTAGTCACATCGTAAACTCCAGCCATGAAATATTATGGGCATGTAAACTCAATTTACCTCCTCCTTTGCATTAGCTATCCACTTCTCCAGTTCAGCTAGACCAGATTTTACATATTCCCCATTTGAGAATGTACAGCATTCACGGCGCAACAGAAGACTACAAAAGATAGGTAGAATAATGTATAGGATTATAACGTTAAACTAAAGAAAGTTAAATGTCACAGGTAATATAAGTTTTACGAAGTAGTTAATATCACAGAATAGTTGTTAATTCTAGTATGGGCTTGAAGTTCTTTTTTTTAGAATAGCTAGAGAAGAGTTTTAACCAACCTATCTCTCTCTCTGCTTCTTCCTACCCTCTCATTCTTTCTTACTATCATCAACTCAATTAGCCAAGCAATCAAATTAGCAATTTCATGCAATGAAAAACCATTTCTAGTAACCAAGTTTTTTACCTGTTGAAGAGGGTAATATTGACGAAAGAGAAAACTTGAGTGACTAATTTCCGTATGAAGAAGGATGGTACCTGAGCACGCAATTTCGAAGTAGCACAATTAAATCGGCATGAAGATTAGGATATTAAATTTATGATTTACAATACAATCATGATATTTCAACTACATTAATGTTAGAATAACTAAGATCAAATAATTGCAATAAATCTTGGTGTTAATCAGACGGTTTCATAGCCAACCACCAGAATAAACAAATAAAGTGAAATGTTCCAGTCGTCATTATTCTTCAAATAATGTCAGTTTACCAGCAAAAATGAAAAAAAAAAAAGATAAGTCCACCAAAAAATACAGATAATTTACAGTTTAATGATTATTGGCCCACCACACCAGTCTTCAATTGTTTCTCTCCAATGCTAAATGGATGTTACAAAAATCCTTGATTCACGACGACGACAACGACAAGCCTTATCCCACTAAGTGGGATTAGCTACATGAATTGTATGACATCATTGTGTTCTATCATTTAACAAGCTTTTAGAAATGTTAACTAAAAAGTCCCATTCAACAACTTCAAAAAATGTTCTCTTAAATTGATTTACAAACAATCCCCAATTCATGATGAGCAAAATGATTTACAAACAACAAGGACAACGAAAAAAACGAAGCATAAAATGCAGCGTAGGATGAAAATGCATAATCCTGAACTTGTGGTTTCATCTTTAAATTAAACTCCATCTGATTTTATAGTATGAAAAACTTCTATGGAAATGTGAAATTTTGAGCCACTGTCTAATGCATTACACAGCAAGCTGACAAGTTTCACCAGTCAGAAAAACATCAACAAATGAGGTAAGATTGGGGACAACCAAACTGCCTTCCATTGATGTAGCACGACATTCTGAGATAAGAAAGGTTGAAATAAGAGTCTTCTAAGACAAAATGAAGCATGCAAAAACAAATAGAGGTGCATTCTAAAAGGAAGACAAACAAAAAATAAATAGATCCTTGAAAAACATACATGATTTCCACGTAATCGGCTCATAAGTGAATCCAAAAATTTAATGATGTTGTCCCACTGACCACCAGGAGATTGCAGAGGAAGTCCACCAGGAGACCGGGATGATTTTCCCCCATGCATTCGTGCGGTTTTTGGTGCCTAACATGTTCCCCATAAGGCCCAGGGAAAC